AAAATTCCGGAAAAGGATCCGGTGAGGATCATTTTCCTGAGATCTTAAAGATTTCGTGATCTTGACCGTTTATTGTATATCGTACGGTCAGAAATCATTTCAAAATTTAAAATTAAATATAAATAATACCTACAAAAACTGATCGCACAATGTATAATAAACGTCACGATTACAGAATTCTTAAAATCCTCAAAAAAAGGATCCGGCGACTTTTCCCAAATTTCCCACACCCAGAAGAGAAAAATAAAAATCCACAAGCCTACCCATAGACCAACCATGGCTTCTGAAACTTACCAATCCAAAAATGTATGCGTGATTGGAGCTGGACCCTCAGGGCTTGTAGCTGCAAGGGAGCTGAGGAAAGAAGGTCACAGTGTGGTGGTGTTGGAACAAAACCATGATGTGGGAGGGCAGTGGCTGTACGACCCAAATGTGGAGGGAGAGGATCCCTTAGGAAGGTCACCTACCCTAAAAGTGCATAGCAGTCTTTACACCTCTTTGAGGCTCATATCTCCAAGAGAGATTATGGGGTTCACTGACTTTCCATTTGCAGTCAAGAAAGGTAGGGACATGAGGAGGTTTCCTGGCCATACGGAGCTTCTTTTGTACCTCAAGGATTTTTGTGATTGGTTTGGGTTGAGAGAGTTGATAAGGTTCAATACTAGGGTTTCATATGTGGGGATGTTGAATGGAGATCATGTAGTTGGTTGCAAAGATCTGAAATGGGTTGTGAAGAGTGTGGAGAATAAGACCGAGAGTTTCGTGGAGGAGGTGTTTGATGCGGTGGTTGTGGCCACCGGTCATTACTCTAAGCCAAGGTTGCCCTCCATTAAAGGTACGTACTAGATCAATTTCTTTAGTTCCATGCTAGGTCATATCTAACAAGAATTTTGTTGTAACATTAATCTTGGTCAATTACGTACTGACATACATTTAACTCTTTATTTTTCATATGAAAATGGACGATGACACGGTACTAAAAGGAACAGCTCAAGTGCATAACAATCACATTTTTTAATAATCATAATCATATGTTGTTTCAATTTTCTTTTTCTTTTTCTCTATTTCCTTTTTATTTCTTTTTAATTGAGGTGGGTTTAATTTGGTCATGTTTAGGAATGGATGCATGGAAGAGGAAGCAAATGCATAGTCACATTTACAGGGTTCCGGAGCCATTTCGTGATGAGGCAAGGCATTATAGTAGTTAATTATTAATTAGATTATTAGCTTGAAACATATTGTAGGTTCACTTCTTGACAACTTAAGAGCGTTGGGAGACTTGTAGTCGTCTAACATAATATCATATAGATCAACGGAAGTTTCTAGCACAAAAGAGATGAAGTGATCCTTGTGCTCTATTTGCAGGTTGTGGTGGTGGTTGGAACTTCACTAAGTGGGCAAGATATATCAATGGAACTAGTGGATGTGGCAAAGGCAATCTACCTCAGTGGCAAATCTCTTGACATATCTGAGGGCTTGTCCAAAGTCATTACCAAACATGAAAACTGGCACCTTCGTCCCCAGGTACAAGAAATTAGCTTCTACAGCGAAACGTCGCGTTTCGTCTTTAGGATTGGATTATAAGCAAATAAAACCATAGTATAAAATATCGATAATATCGGAAATATCAGTAGTAAAAAAACATGGAAATTTCGATGGAAATAACGGGATATTATTGATATCGATAAAAACTGAATAAAAACCACGGAAATTGTAAGCAAAACTTGGAAATTTTTATTGAAACTTTGGAAAATGTTTATTTAGTCAATTATCTATTAGTTTATAAAAAAATAGAAGGAAATGCATTACATGATGGATTTAACTAATTTAAGTTGATTATACAGCGAGCTGACAAACACTGTGAGTATAGAAAATATGTAGTAATTAATGAAAAAAAAATTAAACACACCATAATCATTTACAAATAATGATTTACTACAATATTTTACACTTTATACATTGCATGGTAAGATACATGAGTGATTTAGTACCACATAAAGTTCTCTTCTTATGAGGTTCAAAATTTTCACTATCTTCATCATCTCTATGTGTAGGGTAAGTTTATTGTGAAGAGTATTCATCAAATGATAAATCCTCAAAATAGTTTTGTATGTAATTGTTAACATGATACTCATATAAATATAAATATTTTAGCATATTATCACTAAAACATAAATGATATATGATGGTTACGATGTTGGAGGAGTAAAATGGGAGGGGTTCAAATCCCCTTTGTGTTTTTTTTCCTCCCTTTTTGCCCTTTTTTTCTTTTTTTTTTCTTTTTTTTTCCTTCCTTTACATCGATATTTTCGATATTTTAGCGATATTACACCGATATTTTGACAAAATATTGCTGAAGTGTGAGTGAAATTATCGACATCGATATTTTCCGATATTATCATCAATAATGTCAATATTCGTACGATATGTACATGGATATGTTCTGAAATATCCGTGATTCGAAAAAACCGAAATATCCTCCATATTTCATCGATATTATCAATATTTCAGACTATGAATAAAACTATGTTCAAACAGATTTCGTCTATGTAATGTTTAAATGCAACCAAATGCAGATAGATCCGATATTATCATCAATAATGTCAATATTCGTACGATATGTACATGGATATGTTCTGAAATATCCGTGATTCGAAAAAACCGAAATATCCTCCATATTTCATCGATATTATCAATATTTCAGACTATGTTTTTTTCTTTTTTTTTTCTTTTTTTTTCCTTCCTTTACATCGATATTTTTGATATTTTAGCGATATTACACCGATATTTTGACAAAATATTGCTGAAGTGTGAGTGAAATTATCGACATCGATATTTTCCGATATTATCATCAATAATGTCAATATTCGTACGATATGTACATGGATATGTTCTGAAATATCCGTGATTCGAAAAAACCGAAATATCCTCCATATTTCATCGATATTATCAATATTTCAGACTATGAATAAAACTATGTTCAAACAGATTTCGTCTATGTAATGTTTAAATGCAACCAAATGCAGATAGATCCGATATTATCATCAATAATGTCAATATTCGTACGATATGTACATGGATATGTTCTGAAATATCCGTGATTCGAAAAAACCGAAATATCCTCCATATTTCATCGATATTATCAATATTTCAGACTATGAATAAAACTATGTTCAAACAGATTTCGTCTATGTAATGTTTAAATGCAACCAAATGCAGATAGATGTACTTCAAGAAGACGGGAAGGTGTTATTTGTAGACGGTTCTTGGATCATTGCAGACACTATCATATATTGTACTGGGTAAATTTTCAACCCAATATCATTTATACATGGAATATTATTGTGACAATTTGATAACATTTTAAAGTCATTCACGTACTATTATGTATCGTGATTAATTTGAAATACAACCGCATAACATATATCCTTCGGATCGTACGATGGACTTGCTTTGGAAAGTGATTGATACCCGTAGTCTTTTGACCTTTGACTGAAAGACTTTGTGTGGGCCCCGCACTAAAATTATGGAACCACATCTAGTTGTATTCCTTTGAATTGGTTTATAAACTAATTTTTCCAAGTGGGATGTGTGCAGGTATTCATACACATTCCCCTTTCTTGACACCAAAGGAATAGTAGCTGTGGATGATGACAGAGTGGGGCCTTTGTATGAGCATACCTTCCCTCCATCGCTTGCTCCCTTTTTATCATTTGTAGGCATTCCTAGAAAGGTAACTTAAACGTATCTAATTCGAGAATTTCTAGTATTCGTTCAAATATAGATGTACAACATATTTTTAGTTAAAGATACAATGATAAAAATTTAACACTTAAAATCTTCAAAATATAGAGTATTTTGGAGTGTGGTAGAATTTTTGTTCTAATTTAATAATTTTTGTGAAAAATGATATTTATTAATCAATCAATATGATCCAGATCATAGGGTTTCCTTTTTTTGAGTCACAAGCAAAATGGACAGCTCAACTGCTCTCTGGCAAAACAACATTGCCATCAAGGGATGACATGATGCAGTCAATCAAGGAGTTCTACCACTCAAGGGATGTTGCTGGCATTCCGAAGCATAACACCCACGACATCGCCGAGTTCGAGGTAAACTTCCATAAAATTACCTATATCATATTTACTGATCACAGTGACTCGTAAAGCCATTGTTGCTCATATTCTAAGGTCTCTACCATTTTTGTTTTGCTTGTTGTTGCAGTATTGTGATAGATATGGGGATCACATAGGGTTCCCACATTTGGAAGAATGGAGGAAAGAGCTTTGCCTTTCGGCACTAAGAAATGCTGACACCGACTTAGAAACATATAGGGATTCGTGGGATGATCATGATCTGCTTCAAGAGGCTCTTCAAAGTCCACATTTTACTCAACTTGGGCCTCAAGATTTTGATTTTCCTATTTAATAACCCTACAAATATTGTTATTTATGTTATTTTATTCTTCTTTTTCTTGGACCACCAACTTTGAGTATATTATAAGTTTTTGCTATTATATTACTTCATTTATATTTCTTTATTATCCTTTGTTTTTTCATAACGCTTGACATAAAAACAAGCTTAATTCAACTTAAACAAAATTTCAATTTCATCTAGCGAGTTATCGACTTGTAAACTGTTGAGAGTTGGAATCTCTTAATACGATGAAGTATTGTCTAATAGTTTAAATGAAGTTGAGTTTTTACACTCATAGTTAATTGGTTTTGAGTTGGATGTTCATATTAATATGGTATCAGATCAAATTATTTGTTTGTTGAGCTCAACGCTTCACATGGTCTCACGTCACTCAATATGTATTTTGTTCACGTTTTAGGCAATGACGCCACAAGTTGTTTGTAATATGGCCCCCTTTCGTATTGAGTTTTGTAAACGGCTACTATTTGGAAAGATTAAGATCTTAGTATGAGCACATTTTGGTCTCATCCAGTGCATACGATTGGATTGGATAAGCTCATTAGATTCGGAACTGTAATCGGAGCTTTAAAAAGAGAAATTTTCATTCTGCAATATGGGTTCTTTTCTTCTCCACCCCAAATATATATATATATATATATATCCACATGTATGAACTATGGTCTGGAGAATACTTACAAAACAAGCTATTTGATTCACAAAAACATCACCAAATGAGCATAAAAACAGACGGTTTACCGTCACTCTTGCCATGCTTGGCCTGAAATAAGCCAAGGCTTGCTAACTGGATATCTCTGCCCTCTATGCCGCCTAGTTACCTGTCCCCAACAAATCATACTTCTCTCCCCTTTTCCGAACTGACTTTTGGCACCAATCTGCGTCAACAGTGATTCCAAACTATTCTCGGTTACAGTGGACGGAGAAATGCTGGACCTTTTCCTCCCCCTCGCCAACCCAAGTTTAGTTGCGCATCTAACCGACCTTGTTGTACCAGAAGACTCAATTAACTTTTCTATTGTCTGAAGATCTTCGGTCACCTCATGCCTTGACAAAGAAGCAAGGTTTGGGAGAATTTCACTCTGGAAATCCTTCCGCTGCCTTCCCCTCTTCCGGCCTTTCCTTGGCTGATTTGGTAATGAAGTGGTACCCGGCTCTTCCTTTTTGTGGCCACTACTTCTACAGCAGCAGCAGCACTCTTCCACTTTTGTCTCAGTTAAACTCAAGGTCATGACCTCAAAGTAGTCCATTCCATCTGGTAGAAGCTCCTCGCTGATAACCACTCTACCCTCGTTCTCTTGACCACCTACAACTGAAGATGCTATCCCAGCAAACCAACATAGGGAGGCACATGAATTTTTAAGTGGCTTGTCCGTGGTCCTTATGATACAACTACGAAGGTCAAATGATGAAATGGAAACCAAAGATTCTGCTGCATTCCTGACAACTTGGTTTTCATCAAATTGTATTATCGGCGGAGAAAACTCATTGTTTTCCGGATCATCCTGTCCTGGCAATAGAAAAGGTGTCTCAACTTGATTTTCGTCCGATTCTCCTCTTGGTGGAGAACACTCCTTGTTTTCTGGACTAGCAGGTGCCTCCAAAAGAATTCCAGTTGAGAGAGAGTTTGCTGGTGAAAACCCATCTCCAGTTGTGGACGAGTTCAGGGCAATTTGAAATCCAAAATCTTTCCTATCAAATTCATTCTCTACTACCTGACCTGTAAGTTCTATTTCTGCATCAAGCACTGAATCACAATCAGCGTTTAAATCAAGTACCACCACTTTTCTTCTTTTCTTGACTTCTTCAGGTGGGTTCAGAATGGAATTGGAGGGGTGGCCAGTAGACTCACGAATTATTTTACTTGAGAAATCACTTGCCCCCGCCTGGGTTGAATCTTCACATCCTTTGTCAGTTTTGCCATTAAGCTTTCGCCTATGCCAAGGCAAGCTCTCACAAGAAGCTTCAAGTTTTTCTGATCCGGTTGTGGCTTGGAAACACTGAGAAACTGCCGCATCCAGAGAACAGCCAGTAGGCACACAATTCAAGTTAATATCCTTAAGACTTGATATTTGCGGAATCCATCACATCTTTTTTTACTCCAGGCAGTTCAATCACTAAATTGTCACTGGTCCGGATCAGATTATCAAAACTGATGTGTGGCTGTGAATTCTTGGATTCCAACTGGGAGCCATTGCTAAAGTTATCATCAAGAAAGAAGGCACTACCATGTTTTGTGCTAGATCTCAAATCATTTTTCAACTGTAGCCTGTCACCATTGATCCCAGGCCTTACCGTTGATGATTTAGAACAAGTACCAAATGGTACGGGGGTGTTAAAACATGGGAGTGCTTGAACTGCCATTGGGAACCGTGCAAAGTCATGTACAGGTTTTCTTATAGCTGCACTGCATGAGGCCCCTGAATTTTCCATCTTGCCCTGAGGAATATGTTCATATGGCGTGCACATGGAAGAAGCTCCGCTTGGTCCAGATTGGCTATAACTTCTGGGGTTCTGTAGACCGAAAATTGTTCTTCCACTCCATGAATTCTGGTTACTCTGATGAAGGGTTGGAGGTTCAGCTGCCTTGAGCTCCTCATGCAATAAACTAGATGAAGGACATAATTTATCTGCATGAGATCCTGGAGGAAAAGAATTCAAGGTTCTTTTCCTTTTCTCTGAAAGATAAACACATCCAATATAAGAACATTTCCGGTGATTATAGCTATTCAAGCTGATCACAAATTATCGTAGTATTAGAACTAAGAATAAATATACTTATAAGAGTTGTAATTCTTTAAAAGAAAAAAAAAATGAAGAAACTGGAGCTTTATTTCCACCTTACAGTAAAATTCTTACCAGCTTCGTCAGTGGACGGCAACTCTTGTTTCCTTTTTCTCTCTTGCAGTAGGACATTTGAGCAAACTTCAAAATCCTGTCTTTTCCAGGTGTCTTGGATATATTCCTTAGATAAAAACTGAAGGCCTGATGTAGGAGATGTTCCTTTCTCAAGCTTATGCAGATAATTTAAGCCAACTGAACCTTTTTGTAATGATGCAGTAGTTGACGTATCATCTTCCGAAACAGAACTATATCCATCAGTGCCAAGAAATTGTTTTGCATCACCATTACATACAGCCTCCGGAAATCTTATCAAACGAGAACTTGAAACCTGAGGTGCTTCAGAAACCTTTCCATCTACTAAGAATCCTTCTCCTTCATCATCAATGTATGCATCCGCTGGAAGTTCGAGATCCAAGAAGTTCTTCTGAAATTTGTTGCATTTGGATTCCAACGATTCAGAGTCTCCTGAACGACCTTCAGTTTGAGTAGGATAAGAGCATGTCTGTATGTCCCTCCCTCGAACAAAACATGAAGGTGACTGGAAACTTTCAGCAACAGAAACAGAGATTTGACTGCATGCAGGGTTTACCAAAGGCAAGGAAGGAACGTGAAGTGTCTTTTGAACACAAACAGATGAGCTCCGAGACAAATCAGTAGTCAACCATGAAGCCTCCATCTTCTGCTGATGTTTCTCGAATTCATTCCTTCTTATTTCATCCATTAATTCCCTTTGTCTTCCGTAAAGCCGATGAAGGTCCTGAACCTGGATGAACAGAAGACAATATAGGCATATTTAAGTGTTTGTGAAATTCTATAAAACTTGCGAATACCAAAGATATTGTGGCCAAACAAAAGATAGCAGCATGGTTTTCATTACATTATGACTCGATGTTTTGCCGCAACTACAATTTATTGTTTATGAACCATTCTAAGTATTAACAAGTGACAAGTGAAAATTGGTTTAGGAAGAGTTATGACAAAATGATTTGAATGTACTAAGCTCAATAAATACAAAATGCTGCATATTATTCACGACACGAATGGATGAAATAGTATACCTGATTCCTAAATATTGTGTCTTGCTTGAGCATTGTCTGCTTTAGTGCCTCCTTGTAGTACTCGAAATGGTCCGTAGATAAGTTATGCTTCCTTTTACTGTCATTAGCAATTAAGTTATGATTCCCTGAGGCATAATATCCTGGGAAATAGCTGTTGCACTGGATGTTTGCCCCCATTTGCAGAAAATCTACATGTAATGAAGCACACAATTTACTGGATAAGACAATTAAGTATAGCTGCGCGTGAGCGCTCTCAGTTCCATCAGAAAGAAAACGTGCAATGCACAGAAATCAGAATGAGTTAGTCTGCACTGTATAGATGAACTGTCGAAATCCAAAGAGAACCAGGACAAGCCTTAAAACTGTTAGGCTACAATGATCCTCTCCAGGGGAGTCGATTTGAAATCATTTTCGGAAAAAGGGGAAGAAGGAACATGTCATCGCTCTATGAAGATCGGAAGGCGCATGCTTTGGACGGCTGCGCTAACTCAAGATAATCCATTACAGTAAAAGCCGCCAGACAAGTAAACATGGAAACAACATTAAGAACATGAAACAAACTCAGAAATCACACACAGAGTAATTTATTCATTTCCCCATATCCAGATTTTCTTCAACTTATATATTCACATAGGAAAGATGAATGTAAAAGTCACAATAAAATATATCCCAAAATTCCCGGGGAACTCAGAAATCAATGATTAAAAAGGAAAACAAAATCAGAATAATTTAAAAAACCCAGAAGCACAAATTACTAAAACAAAAATTCTTTTGAGAAAATGTGGTTAAAAATTCCATCCTTTTGGTTTCCTAGTTCATGGATGCATATTTTACAGATCAAACATATGAAAAAAGAAAAATTAGCAAAGAAACAGAAAAGGAAAATACAACAAATCCATCAAATGAAACACCTTTTACTCATAAATAAAAAGATTTAAAGGAATCACCTCTGCCAATAAAAATACACAAAAAAACCCACCTGAAATTTGATGCATAGTTTCTATTCCAGCTCCTTCTCAAAACCCCATCAAGGAATCAGTCATTCCAGGACTCTGGATTCCTCTGCAGCAGAAAACACAGCAAAACAAGAACAACCCATGAATCAGGAATCAGAATAACACAGTACCCAACAGAGCTCGAACATAAAAAAAATGTATAAGCATTTTGGAAATACCATGAAAAAAATAAAGGATAAACGATGAAAGTTCGGATCCGCTGGGCCATTTTTTCTAAGTAGATTTTAGAGAGAGAGAGAGAGAGAGAGAGAGAAAGAGAGAGCTGATAAGAAAACCCACAGGAAAAACGACACTTACATGGAGAAATTTTGACGGTAATTAAAGAAAAGAGTTTGGAAATTTTGAATTTTAATGTTAAAGATAAAATAATAAAGGGTAAAGTGAATGGTATCAAGTTTGACTTTTCAGTGTAAAAATGTAGTTTTTCGTTAAAGTAAACAATACTGTGGAGTTTTCGTTAAAATTTCTAAATTTTTAATTACGAGAAAACAAAAGTGGTACATCACGTGTTTTAATAGAAGTGGTCATAAATTTTATTTTTTAAATTATTAATTTTTTAACATACATATTTCACTATTTGTATAATAACATATAATATAATATTCTGTGTATCGATCACACTGAAAAAATCTCTCACTTACATAAGAAGAAACATGAGAGTTGGTCCACACCCAACAAAGTCTCTCCCTTTCTCGATTATCATGTGTTTGATTTTGGTTTTTCGAGCAAGTGGGCATTGTTTTATGAGGTTCTAGATTCTCTCTACCACTTCTGTTTCCGGAAAATAAAAACGAAGAACATAAACATATTTAATATTTAACTTCAAAAATATTTGGGTTTCAATAGGGGACACACTCCACCAGCACTTACTAGTTATTAGACTACTTCTATTTTCCTAATTCAATTAATAATTTAATGCAATTTTATTATTATTTTTCATTAGTTATGAATAGGTAATACTTGGGTTTAGACCCATATCTTTAATGATGTATAATGATGTAACAATATCCTTTTGTTTCCGACTTCCCCATGAGCCTTTGGTAGCACAGCCAAGACAACGATGACTTTTCGGCCTTTGCAAGATGGAGCGACAGAAGTTTTGAGAATTCAAGAGAAGGTCACAGCGAGACGAGCCGTTTATTATTACAATAGGTTTTGTGATCAACGGTACAATATAATCTCAACTACTATAATTATGGGAAAGAAAATTTGAACTTGGCTGCAAGGGGGCAAACACATTGAATAATCCGACTAACTCATGTCTCTGTACGTATCATCTTGTTTCTAATAAACAATGGACATGCTATTAATGACTATTGAACAGTCACATGTGTTGCACTATAACTGACTTATTATATTATGTAAGAAGATGTGGTTCTAAACTTGTCAAGAATCGAGTATAGTCCGTTATAAATTATAATTGGTTTGTTGTGGGCCCATGGACATTGCCTGATAACGAGGAGAACACTCATAACTCATTCGCTTGTCAGATGTTAGCCTTCAAAATAAATTTCTGTTATGTTTACTTATTTGAAATTAGAAAAATTATGAATTAGAGAAGTCATGAATAGTGGAAGAGAAGAAATAAAAATACGACCAACTACTCTTCATGATCGATGTTATTTGTAATTTTATATGTTGGTAAGATAATTATAGAATTGGAATAACTCATATTCAAACATGTCAAAAATCAGAATGATTATACGCATAAACTTTTACAATAATTATGGACTTAATTGGGAAATGCATAGGTCTCACCGTGTTATGATTTGCCTTGAAACTATGATTAGTGTTAAATGCATGAACGAAGATACTTTTTGGTGTCATTTGATTCATTACCAACCATGGAATTTTCAATGTATCGATAACACGGTTCAATATATTAAGTATCATAATACAAATAGTTTGATATTTAAATTTTTTTTTCAACCATTTATATTATGTCACTTGATGTATCGAACCGTGCTCTCAGTCTCAGCATACTGAAAATTTTCTCTGTAAATTCAAAATTACATCGCATGTTGGTCCTTATAACCACCAAAGACAAATTTGTAATTTCCGGGACTTTACAAATTTGTATTGAAAAATGATTTTTACACATCATTCATCTCCTTCCCCACACGTCTATTTACATGGATTTCTTAATATTATTTTAATTCTCCAATAAAATAAACATATACAAAATAGAAATAAATGAATGTTCGGAAATCACTTATCGCTTGTGTTTGTAGAGAGATTTTTTAATGTAACCGTCACAAAAGGTGGTACATCACGTATCCTTATATAAATGGTGAGTTATGTGGTTAAAAGGTTAATAATTTAAAAATTAAAATTTTCCACCACTTACATAAAAACACGTGATGTATCATCCGTATTTCTGTCACAACTAAAAATTTCTCGTATTTGTGTGTGTAATTTTTATTTTTTTATTTCCAAAAATATTCTGCCAAATATGACAATCTAATCAATATAATCATTGTGGTTGAGTGGTGCTAATGACTAAAGCCTCGAGAACAACTGACACGACGAAGACGTAATTGTTACTTTAATGAATTAGTTACAAGGTTACGTCGCATGAAAAAACTTCAAATCAAAGAAAGAAGATAAAGGAAGAAAAAAACTAATTAAAAGAGAGTAATGGCAGGGAGATTAAAATTTTTAAGCTAAATTTATAAACCAAATGATGTGGTTGTTGATGATTGAATTATTACTTAAACGTTGATTAACGTGCTTATTTTTTGTTGGTGACACATGATTTGGTTTGCAAATTTGGTTTAAAATTTTAGTCTCCCTAACATTACCCATTAAAATATGCAATAAAAATTGTAATAAATCAATTCGTTCTACTTTAAGTTTTATAGAGACGATTTCAAGTTTCAGGTTTCAGGGGCAAAATGAAGCAAACTTTGAGTTTCAATGCGTAAAGTTGCGACTTTTGAGTTACAAGTAGCAAAATGAGATTAAAATTGAGTTCCAAGAGACGTAGCTAAAAATAATTTTTTTTCAAATTTTCAACTAATTATAATATTATATTTGGTAAACTGGACTGTGTGCCCGACATGCTAAAAAATTTCTGAATTGCAAGAGTTGAGTGACAATGGTAAAAATAAGCGCTAATTACTTTATTTAGATGTTCAATGGAAAATTGTTTGAGGTCAAGATTCTGGATATGAATGTGATATCATCAACTTGCACGCAAAGAAACTATAACACCCTCCTCCTCACAAAAAGTGACAAAGTGAATTTACTGGAATTTGGTAAGAAATAAAGAGTAATCCATATAGTGTAAAACTTGATGCTAAATTTCAAAGCTAAATGAGTGAGTGTACATTTTTTATTTTAAAATTTGATAATGGATGATCGTTTTCGAGTCAATGACGGTTGCGATCACTGGAGCTTATCCTTCTCATGTGCAAGTCCAACATCAAGCCAATATAATTGCTCATCGCTTAGCCCGTTATGCCCTTCATACTAGTTGTTTTTGTTGTTGGTTTAAGGTTGGTTTAAGGATCTCCCGAACCTCATCTCTGACTTGTTATTAGAGAATTGTTGTAATTAAGTTGCTGCTACTCTTTGCAGCTCTTTTATTTTGTGTGGATTCTTCAATCTTCTATAAAAGCTACTGTTTCTCTTAAAAAAATATATAAACATATCAAATACAAATCCTCCATATTGGTTCAGCGTGCGAAAGTTCTCTGGTGGGACCCTTTATACTATTGATGAGTCGATACTATACTTTATATTTTATCGTACTCTTAGTTATAATTTATTAGTTATTTTGATAGAGTTTTGATATTTTGTTATGTATTTTCAATGTAGAACATTCGACTTCCTCTTAAGCAAAAAGTGATCAAACGGATGAATTTTAGAGTGATTCTAATTGGAGGATTTTCGTGAGTGTTTCAAGATGATTGTATCAAAATTCCAGATTTTTCTAACAAGCCATTTGACCGTGGCAATGAAATAAAGACTCAGCGCGCAGCTTTCCCATATTGATGTTTATGGACATTTTAGGTATTTTGAAGGTCAAGATGTCATATTTTGAGAAATATTCCTTCTGGGGATTTGTTAGGAACATCTCAAGCTTTAAAAAGAGATTTTTTTAGACCAAATTGGAGTTTATTTGGTTGGTCAAAAGATAGATTTTCTCTACAGTCTAAATTCCTGTTTAAATAGGAAATTTTTTATTTCCTAATTATCTTTACTATTATGTTTCCTAGTTTTTAGAAGACATTTTCTAGGTAGGATTTTATTTTTTTGTAGTATAAATAAGGCTATTTAGCTATTATAGATTGGGGAGAAGAGAATAATGCATTATTTTGGAGAATTTCAGATTTTTTACCTACAAAGTGTTTTATATCCATGTTCTCAATAACATTTTATTTTGTGATTGTTAGTAACTAATTCCGTTTGCTTGGCAAGACCGTGAGCCTTAGTAAAAATATGTAGTTTCTTTTCAATTTGCTTATGATATTATGCATGCAAGTTTTGAATTATTAATCACTGGTTTAAACTATCTATTTGTCTTGATGATTGGCCACCATTAGGATATTTAGAAAAGTCATTTGATGTAATTTTGGCTGAGAGCTATCCCTGAAATTGATCGAGGCTGCTTGTGGTTAATATGTGTAACTTCTTAGAATGAACGACACATCTTAAGGGTTGTATGATTTTTCAAAAAGTTTTCACAAAACTTAATGAGTCTTGCATGTTCACATTCGATTTAGACACCACACACGGGTTGTATATTAGATATACGTTCTATATTGGAGGTTCCAAGTAGGATATATATTAGGAAAACCTAACCTTCAAAATATGCATGGGTAATTCATAAGTAAGTGGAAGAACTACATAGGATTGTTAAGGTGGCGGTGAAACTCTAGTGCATAAATAGATTTTCAAACTATTTTCTTTTGTTTTATTTACTTTGCCAATTTATTTAATTGTTTTTAATATTTTAGGTCATAAAATCACCCTTTTCCAAACTTTGTTTTCAAATAATTAATTAAGATTTGGTTAACATAAAATATTCATTCATTCCCTGTGAAGAACAACATTGCTAGAGCCGACTATACTACAATTACCTTGTACTCTTGCAAGTATTTAAGTGTTTTTATCCCTATTTTTGCAAATGGTAAAAATCATATCAACTATCATACTATTCTTTTATGATTTTTTCTTTCTAAAGTCGATGTCCACCTTCTAGTGAGATTTTTTTAGTGGGCTCCGAACACGGAGCACATCATGTTATTATACAAGTGGTGAAATACTTGTGCTAAAAAATATGAAACTTAAAAAAAAAAATGAACCACTTATATTATAACTTGTGGTGTATTACTCGTATTACGAACACAATGAAAATTTTCTTGACCTTTATGGGTCCTGATCTCCCAATTTTATTTTAGGCTTATTTTTCCAACTTCTCTTCAAATTCCGTTTTGATCTTCCTTTACCCTCTGAAAATCAAATTTCGTCATTTTACACCGAAACTTAATGTTTGATTCACTTTGGCATTTTTCGTTAGTTTTGTTGACATATATGTTAAAACTCTAACATGGCATAAGTACGACCCACTTAACTGTTAATATGGCAGCCATACCATTGAGTTTAAATTTTCAGTTTCTGGGTGATGGATGCTTTAACAAGGAAGGAGATTTGACGATTTGGCAAAAATGCTCTTCTCCGTTATGCCCAATGGATGCCCAATAGGATCCTCTTTGGATCTTTTGATGAGGATCCTGAAGATCCGTGAATCGTGTTTGTTCATCGTATATTGTGCGGTCAATTTTTATCGAGTACTGTTTGTATTTAATTTTAAATAAAAATATTTAAAATAATTTATGATCACACGATGTAGATGAACAGACACAATTCACGGATCCCTATCAGGCTAGAATGCGGATTCAATGGATACTACATTAGCATGGTTCATTCCACGTCATCAATTTTAACTCCAACTTGATATAATTGACAAAATTTAGGCAAAGCAGGGCAAATCTAGAAGTTCAAGGTGCAAAGTGATTATTTTTTGGCTTCGCATAAAAAACTTATATTTTATTATTATTTTTTGCAGCTGGATTTACAAAAGTACCCTTCGTTTTGCTAAATGACAATCCATCTACCTTTACATCACTTTCTTGGGTCTCACTTTCATGGATCTGCCATGAAGATTAAAGTAAGCCTTTTGAAACTCACACCCAAAGCAAGCTCATATTTTAAGCTTTAATTTTTGGAAATTATTAATAACGTTTTGAAATAGTCATTCGGCATTCTAACCGTGTTTAAATTTAAAAGACTGTGTAATGACTTTTTAAAAGTGACAAACAACAATTTTCTATCATTTCATGGTCGGAAAAATTTAAGTATGCTCAAAATTGTCAACATGTAATCACGAAAAGTAATTCAGTAAAAAGTGCAAACAACTCTTTAAAAAAAAAAAAAAAAAAAGAGATTTTAGGTTCAATACTTTGTAAACTGTGAATTTGTTTAGTTGTTGCAATGGGTAAAATGCAATTCCAAACTAGCATCCTCTGAGCCCGAAAGGGTTGGAATAATGTAATTCGCTATCAGTTATCCCCCTTTTAAGCGAAAAAAAAAAAACATGACAATGTAAAATAATTTTTTTATAGATAATATAAAAGAAAATTGTACACTTTATAATTTTAATTTTCTTTTACACTTTTTTTTAATACAATTTTTTCTTTTACACTTGCCCTTTAATTTTAGATTTGCAGCTTTGTATCTCCAAAGAAATCAATCCAAATTTTACCCCGTCACGTTAATTTTTTTATATTTTTAATAAGGACATTATATAATCATACTTGTGCGACTACCAAACAACAAGCTCCCACATTATCACGAATGGAGTCAATACGGGGTTGGATGAATCAACATACATGATACTAATGTGAGCGAGCAAGGTGGGATAAAGTGGGACTAGCTAACCTAAGTTTTTCCCCACCAGACACTAACTTTGTTGGCTAAGGTTTTCTTTATCCCACTGGCTTTCATTGATCACAACATGGTAATCGTAGACAACCCTTTTAATTAGAGTACTAGGAAGCGATGGCCAACGACCTATATTTGCTCCACTTTGGGTGATCGGCTTGGCCACTGGCAAATAGGCTTACTTACACCAGATACATTATAAAACCGGTATCTCAAATTAATAATGCATTGATTAGAGTACTAAGAAACGATGGTTAATGACCTATATCTGCTTCACTTTGGTTGATTGGGTTGGGGACGATGACGATAGTTTTGTTTTGAGGCCGCAAAGCTCGTTCCCTATTATTTGGCCCTTGGCAAATAGGGAGGCTTCTTTCCACTAGGTACACTATTATAATAGTATCTCAAATTAATAACCTATTGTCACATAAGACAGTTCAATACATAACATTATGTTATTGATTTGAAATATTGTCACAACAACATAAATTAATTAAAATTTAAGCCCACCACACACTAACTATATTGGGATAAGATCATAATCTCTATATATTTTCACTAATCACAACATGGTCGACACACGTTATGGCTTGTGTTGTGAATCTGTGATCATAAGCTAGCCTAACCTATAAATATTTGCTCCACTTTAGATGGTTGGCCCTTATCAAAAGGCAGCTAAAATGACCACAAGGACAATCTGTCTGGTTGCACTCACATACTGTTTGGATAAAGAAGGAAATCTAAACCATAGAGGAAGACCTATGAAGACTTCGGAAGAAACTCTAATAAAAAACTTAAGAGTATTTGAATTTAACGGAGGATATGACACAAAATCGAGCGCAATTACGTTCTAAGATTTATACAACCGACCTCACTTAGTAAAAAAATACTTTGTTGTTGTTGTTGTTGCTACTTACTCTGTTAAGCTTAAAGTAATGGCCTAGATTAAATACTGCATCATCAGTTTTGCACTGCAGATTATCAACCCTAACCAATATATATAATAATAGTAAAATGAAATGACTACAATGTCCAACTGATTCATCTGACACACTTGGGTTTAAAGTCCAACTTAGCAGACGTAGGTTTATTCAAGTTGGCTAGATGAATGTGTTTGTCCCTCCGCACCCTTATTCGATCTTCCTCCCCATAGTTTAGATGAGTTTAGGATAGAATATAGTTTGTATAAAAAGTAAGTCCAGCTCAGTTATTATTAAGAAGGATAAGGAAGTAGATTCCTCCAAAAACAAAACTTCGATCATAGTTGACAATCTAACGCTAGAAAATATAAGCAGCAAGAGTTTACCAAAATACATATAGAAAAAAAGGATAATGGTAGGGAGACCAAATTTTTTAAACCAAATTTGCATATCAAAGGATGTGATTGTTGACAATTGGATTACTACTTAAGCATTGATCACGTGCTTATTTCATATTGGTGACACATCATTTGACTTGCAAATTTGGTTTAAAATTTTAATCTCCCTAGCATTACCCAAAAAAAAAAAAAAAAAAAAAAAAGAGAGGATCCAAACATATAGAGCTGTTAGCTAGTTGGTGGAAGCTGCTGTTTGCTTGGCAACGGGGTATTTTCTTGCATTCTTGACAATCTTGGTGAGAGCTGCTTGTCCAAGATCAAGTCCGCAAACGTCTGCCAGTTGAATCAGGTAGAGCAGAACATCAGAGAGCTCCTCTTCCAAATGCTCTTTGTCATCAGAAGTCCAGTCAGGCAGCCCTCTTGCAACTTCACCTTTCCACTGGAAAATTTCAGACAGTTCTCCAACCTCTCCCACCTGCACAAACACATGCCATATATAAGTTATTTTATCCGTTTAACATGATGATATTCTAAGCTATTATAATCTACAAGCAAGCGGTAGACTCACTACTTTGACCTGGCAACTGACCCACCTCACGTCTGATATGATAAAAAAATATATCCGCATATAAGAAAGTAAATAAATTGATAAGATTCTAAAAGGGTGAGAGTGATTACTAGTGCTAGAAGGAGATTTCTGGGGCTGTGATATTGTTCCCATCCTCTTACTTGAGCAAACTCAGCAAGCCGATCACTAAGTTCTTGAAGTGAAACATCTTTATGACCATTTCTTGCAAGCTCATGAGAACTCCCCATTTCTCTTCTAATATTACTAGCTCTCCTCTACACTTTGGCCCTCATGCAGCGCAACCAAATTTAAAGCAAATGGAGAGAGAGGGGGAGAGAGATAGATTTTTGAAGGGCATGGTGGATGGGGTACTTGAGTGTTACTAGTGGCGGATCCATGATTTTAAACTCGGGGGTCCTAATAATAAAGGTCAAAAAATTTATAGACAAAAACAACATTGAAAATTTAAATATAATACATTTCATTCAAAAATCATATGCAAAACAATATTACAAATTATAAAATCATAATTACGAGGTTTTATAAGTTACTAGGGAGTACATAAGTTATTGATTATCTAATATGGACCACTAAATTTAAAACACCGGTCAAATAAAACTCTCCCCAAACTCCCACTATCTTTCTAACCAAACACACCATTTTTATCTTTTACTAGTTTCCAAACATCCACTTTCTCTCTCACTAAGAACACAGCTACCATACCTCCACCAACCGCCTCCCTCCCCATTCTCCCTCCCCATGGCAGCTCCACCCCCAAATTTTACCAATCCATGACAGATCATATCCATCTTACTAACCTTATGTAGGAAATTTCACCCATAAGAAAAATTACTAAGGTGGTTGAAATAATTTGGGGAAATTTGGGCTTATGTACTGCCCCACCAGACGACAGAGAAAGGTTGGAAGAGAAGTGGGTACATTGATGGATGAGACCATGGCGGAAGCCAGGAGGAGAGAGGCTGGAAGGGTCCCTATTTTCTTTCTTCTCCATGCATGATCATCTTCTTCGAGAAGAAGATAGCCACTGCAACCTGCAACCTACAACTTGCATAGACCTCATGCTCGAGTACGAGGGGTCCCGGAAAATTTCTAGCAGTGATTTAGGATTGTCGACGAGTCCTGGGACCTCCCAGGTCCCTATGTGGATCCGTCCTTGAGTGTTACCATCATTTAATTTACAAATTTTATCTCTAAATTTAGTCTATCTACCGTTACCCATTTTTAAAAGCACAACTTGGTATAGTGGATGGGGCACTTGAGTGTTCCCCTCAAAACAGTAATCATTTCAGGTATGGCACAAAACATGTCCCAACCTTCTCATCAATGACGTGAAATCACTCACATTTCCCATCTGCAAACTTTTATTTATGTGTAATGTTAGATAGATCAAAACTTTTAAATTAAATGATGTGGTGGTTGATTATTGGATTATTACTTAAGTGTTGATTAACGTGCTTATTTCTTACTGGTAACAGATCATTTGGTTTAAAGTTTTGGTCTCCTCAACATTATCCTTTATTTATTAGTTGGTCCAAATCACTTGGCTCTTATAATACGAGAAATCTAATAAAAAATCGGGGAGTGATGAGAGAGATACTAATATCTTGTGCCACGTAATGGGAACGTTTTAAAATTATAATTAGGAAAATATTTCATTTACCACGTGATGAGAGATATACTAATATAGGGACCAGTCTACACACAAGAAATCCCCGACCTATGGCTATGGCAATCTTTCTTTATAGAATCTAGCTAGTCTTGAATCCTTAGAATCTATAACTTTGTTCCTTGGCGTTTTGAATTTATCCTCCACCAATTTCACTAGCTAGTATATTTTTAGATTTCATAAGAATCACAAAATATTTTGGTTTCTCACTCTTTTGTGGAATCAACAACACAAAAACATCGTCGGTTGTGTGTTTGTTATATGAATCCGGAAATTGCGATAAGAACTAGGACAATTTACGACATCAGAATCGGAAACTTGAAAGGCATCCAGACAAAGCATTGGAACATTTCATATCATCCTCTATGGTTGTCATTTGTCGTTTATTATAAGCATGGAAATCGTGTCCAAGTTGAAAACAACAAATAAAAATTAAAATTAAAAAAAATAAAAAACCAACCAGCAAAGCCATTGCCCATTCTGCAGAATAAAACGTGTAAAAGAGAGAAAAAAAAATGTTTTTTGCTTGCATATGCTTTAAACGTTGGCGCCCACCCATTAGTCCTACTCATAAGAGCTTCTAGTGTGGGAAGGCCCTAGGGCAACTGCTTATTGAGTCCCCTTCAATAATTAGTAATTGCCTTTAATAAACAGTAATTGTCTTTTGCATCTTCACTATTAAACTGAATAGTCATGGCAATAGGCAATAAAATATTAGTATTTTTTATTTTATAATATAATAATAAATAATTTTATTTGTAATTTCGGATAGGATTTTTAATCCGTCTCGTTGGGTCACGTGTCATTATCCGAATGGACAATTTTTGATGATATATTTCGATAGATTTCGTTAAATTTACATAAACACACCAAATAAAAAAAACACACTAAATGAACTTAATTTTCTTGAGCTTGTTTCAATTCCCACTGGTGCTCTATCAAGGATTAGGTTGGAAACAAAAGTATATAAAAACTGTGAGATAAAGATTGGAATGTGGTTGAAAGAGTTTGAGAAAATATGAAATTGTGGTGTAAAGTGGAAGATAATGATAAGGTATTTATAGAAAAATAAAATCATTTTTTTTTAATTTTTAAACTTTTTTTCGGAATTTTTATTAATTTTTGACATTTTTTATTAACATAATTAATTTTTGCCTTTGGATTAAAAAAATTTGAAATCCAACCCTCCAAATTGTGCCACGTGGCACAACGGTAACATATTCGATTTTTTTCCTTTTTTTTAAGGCGAATAATGTGGACTGTTGATCTGGAATCCAACGGCTGATATTGTGCCACGTCATCTAGCCATTGGGGGAGGTTTGAAATTTTTTTTTACCGTTGGAAATCCAACGGTCCAAAAAAATATCTGTTGAAAACCAATGGCCGAGAATGTGCCACGTGGCACCAGAAACGGTAACATCTCAGAGTTTAAACCGCAGGCCCCACCAACTGAAAAGATGTCGGTGACACTCCCCCATGCGCTAGTGTTATGCACACGCCTGACACAAATTTTTTTATAACATGGTTGACGTCAGTCTTGCATCAGCGCGCCCTCAGGTGCTCGGGCCGTGAATTCGTGCCTCCTCTCTCCCATGGGCCCGCCTTTAGCCCAATTGCCCGCATGGGTTGGAGCAAGGAAGGCTAGCGATTTGGGTTGCTGAGCAACTGGCCCCCATGGTGTTTAACAACGCTGGACTTGCTCTAAGCAAACTTATAAGCACATGCAATATCCCTCATACCTCCTTTCCCTGAAGTGGGATTGATCCTCCTACTTCTTTTTCCGGATATGAAATTGATACTCTCAATATGCTTGCAAAATCTAGTTCAACTACTTATAAGCACATACAAGATCCCTTCTACCTCCTTTCCCGATTTGGGATTGATATATACTCTCAATATGCTTGCAAAACCCCTCCTCCCTCCTTTTTTCGATATTGGTTAACCTGCTCTGATGCCATGAATAGGGTTCAGGTTCCACCATAAAATAAATTGACAATATGGTGAGTAGCCAATCTACTTATAAGTACATGCTTCATTTCTCCAATGTGATATTGATACTCTCAACAAATTTCAGTTTCTATGAAGCCCTTAACATATGTTATTTAAAATATTTCAAAATGAAAAATATATAATGTGGTTGCTGGAAAAAACTACTATGATCGCGAATCTCCGAATGGCTTTAGGGACTGTTAGTATCACGTGTGTGCTCCAAAGGTGTTGCCATTTTAAGAACAGCTGCTGTCTGTAAAATCCAATAGCGTTGGTATTAATGTAGTGGTAGACCCTATCATCTCTGATTCATCTTTCCACAAGTGCTTTTTGTAGAAGCAGCTTTTCTACTTTCATTCATGGTGATGATTGATGAGTTGATGCACGCAATGCAACTAGAAGATTAAGATGAAACCATATGGCTCAGTTTTCGATCTCCTAATAAAATTGTGTTCATAAATTGAAACTGAAATCTAAGGATCTCATACTATATAGGTACTTCACTAGTGCAAAGCGTTAAATAGTCCGTAATTTAATATGATGCTAACTACTTGTCTCGGCCTGCTCCAAAATATTTTTCATAATGTAAACCAATATTTTTTAGGTTAATATTGCGAGATCTTTTGTTTATCAAGTCACAATTACATAACTAAACGAGTTATGATTTGAAAGATACGTAATGAAATATTATATATACCAAAACTAAGTTTTTCCCGGCACTGTTCATTAACAGTGAAATGGCGAAAGTGCCCTTTGTGCCTTCTTGCTTTGCCGTTCTTTTGCCATCTTGGTGCAGTGAAATTAATGATTGATTTGCCCATGCTGGATACGCGTTTATCATCCTTCATCTTTAGCTTTTGGTTCCCTTTACCTTTCTATTTGCCTCTTCTCTCTGGTCGTTCTCTGGTGTTCACTATAGTTTGGCTAAACGATTTTTACTTTGGAGCAATGGTAGAGCTAGGATTTTCAAATAATGAGGTAATAATTTCGACCAAAGAATACTTCCTTGGACCATTTCTTGAGCACCTGGTAGGCACTTGCCAAAGCTTACACCAACGTATGTCGACAACTACTATGATCATAGAGGCTTTTCAATGGCAGCTGTAGGAAATTGTCGAGTAACGTTGAAAATTGCCAAAGTTTGTCAAATGAAGCATTTCATTGAGCATTCGCACAAAAGAGTTTCACACAAAAAGAGAGAAAGGAAGACGTGGATGATAAACAAAAACAAAATGAAAAAAGGCATAAGTTATGATTTAGTTTGTCATGACTATTTATAAGGATCAAATACAACTACACAGTCAATATACGTAGCAATTGTAAAGTTATTTGGATTATAGACAACCAATGATCCCATATTAGCTCCGTTACTACTTTGGAGCACTCTATTTTTAAGATTCTTTTATCTGTAGCCACTAATTTGTGAACTTTAAAAACTGTGAATATTTATGTTATATTTATCGATGATATTGCTGAGCACCCCTTCAATAATAGTGGGACCAAAAGTAATAAATTATTAAACGGTAAAATACTAATGTTTCATCCATGGCGACTTCTTGCAGTTGTTCAATATAAATAACTGATAATTTCGTTGACTGTCTAATTACAGTAAAATGCTATTCAACCCCACATATTTCTTAACATTTGTGACATGTCTTATTTGACTTTCGGAAAACTCTTTTCTTTCGGAATACAAAATCGTTGATACGATGGTATTTTTTTTTTTTTAACAAACTATATTGTTTACAATAACTAGTGTGGAGGAAAGTTGGGTTTAGCTTTATAATAAATTAGCAATAATACGATTCAAATTTATTTTTGGTAAGAATCGAACTTAAGACTTCTTGCTTACAAGTGAAGAGAAATATCAATAAACCATTGTACTAAGTGACTTTTCTTTTTAACATGCTAAAAAATGGAAACGGATCCTCCCCGGATCTTTTCCTCTTAATCCATCAAATCCGGGGATCCAGGCTATTGAAATTTGATCTAATAACTAAGTTTATTATAACTTTTAAAGTGGGTCTATATTTGTAGTCGTTTGATCAAATTTCAATGACTCGGATCCCAGAACTTGATGAATTAGGAGTAAGGAATCCAAAGAATATCCATTTCCCTAAAAAAAAATCAAAGTTCAAATCCTACGTCCCGTCGCTAAAAACTAACTTTCTATAGGAGGAACAGTAAGTCATTTAAAATTGTTAACCCAAAATAGGCCTACCAACTAAGTAACCCGACCCGGTTTTGATCAAATTCAATTGAGCCGAAGAAATCAATCTGCCCTAATTTTGCGTTTACCCCCTTATTACAATCAGGTAATCAATCTCTCCTGGATCGAAATTTCTTAAATTTGGAAAATAACAGACGAATTTGTTTTACTTCTGACTCGGTTTAAATTTAGGGTTCGTTTTGTTTAGTGTTTTCTTGTCTGAATCGGATTCCTGTTGCTTGATTGGGTAGGTCTGAAATGTATAGAAGTCAGAAAAAGGATTGATTTTTATGTGTGTATGGTGAATTGCAGAGGACTATTGATATTGTAGGAGGAACTGCAATGGTAGAGGGCAAATATAAACCTAGGAAGGAGTAAGAATCGAAGAGGATAAGTGGTTTTCGAGATAGAGATGACAAAAGGGAGAGGAATTGGGAGGAGGCATTAGAGGGGGGAAGATAGAAATACGAGAGATTGTGATAGTTGTTACGTGAGAGACAAGTTTTGTGATTGTTCTGAGGACGAGAGGTACGATGTAGAGAAGCGGCATTGAGGAGATAGGGAGAGAGATAGTCATAGGAGGACTAGAGATAAGGAGAGGGAGAAGGTCAAAAGAGAAGGTTGCAGAGTGATGATGTAGACGAGGATGATGATGCTAGGGAGAATGATAGGAAACGGTGTAAGAAAGATCACAAGGATAACGTAAAGAGAGAGCGGGAAAGGAGTAGCAGCAGGTCAGATGGACATAGGGATGATGGAGTTGAGAGGCTGATCATGAAGAGTGATGAAGATTATTCAGTTAAGAAAGAGAGGAAACGAACATGCGAGGTGGTGGAGGAGGAGTTAAGAGGATCAACAGAGGAATTGGATGAGGAAATGGAAAAGCGGAGGAAGAGATCACTAGTCACGCATTATCACTTCCTGGTGGCGCTCAACAACACAGATATCAAGTTATATAAGTGAAGAACTCAATTCCAACCAACTTTAGGTATCTGCTTATGCTGAACTGAATCTGACTCTCAGTTCCTTTTTTTATTTTTCTCGGTCTCCTGATGAGTTTCCATACTGAATTATTCTAGTTAGTAGATTTTTTGTGTTTGCCCATGCCGTATCTATCAACTTGTATGAGAGCCTTCTTTGTTAATCTCTACATGAAATTTCAGTAATCTTATCATTGTTGTCAATTGTTTAAATAGTTATGAATTTGTTTTGTCTTGCTTTATACAATTTTCAGTCCTGCTTTTGATTTTTTTTCTCTCATTTCCCCTGGTGCAAGGGACATTAGGTACATAGGCTCGCTTATTCAATGTTGTCTACGCCTTTACGAAGCTGTGCAATTCTTCATTTTAAAGGGATGTATGTGTTTTAGAATCTCCTGTCTTTTTTTGTTCCATCAGTTTTGGGACCTATGAGTTCATTCATTTTCTTTCTACTGAAGATTTTCATTTTTTATTTGTTTTTTCTTTCCCTTGATTTTGATTAGTAGTTTAAGCTGCCGTCTTTCCTGTGGAGACGATTTTATAATGTAGACAGTTGGTGACCAATGCATTAATGCTATACTGATGTGTATTTTCTTCTGTTCAGCGACGAACTATCGACATAAATAAGCCTCCGGGATTGATCTCGTGCCCAAGGTCAGAAAAACCCCGCTTCATTAAGTATGCTATCGGTAGATTGTTACCATCAAGAGAAAGTAAAAAGCATAACATTGCTGGAGAGCAAGTTCAAGTATAAATTGTAGTGGATTCTCTGTTTACAATTTGATTCTCACTTCCATGGTGTTCCATCCCTTACATCAATGTTTTCGATGCAGCGTGGCAGCAGAATATATCACGGGACTGAAACTTTTGCGTTTCAACATTCAAGAATCTTTTCGGGAAGCTGTTAACTGGCTTTATGGAGACTGTCTTTAGATATCTCCACGATTTTTTGCAAAAACCCATAAACAATTCAAAGTGTAAAAATGTAATGTGAAGTTTGTACTTACGAATGATTAAGAAATTATGTTCTTGTTTATACCGGTGGAGATTCCGAACTTCCCACTGTGTATGAAAAAAAAAAAAAAAAACTAACGAAAAGTCCAAAAAAACTTCTCTTTTAACGAAAAATCATTTTTAAAGGTATAGTGAATAGTGTCAATTAAAAGTAAAAATATGGTTTTTTGTTAAAAATAAACAGTACCATAAGTGTTTTGTTAAAACTCCAAAAAAAAAACCTAATTGGGACGGGGAAGATTAATTTTCTTTTACAACTTTTGGCGGCGGCATCAATGATCGTCGCTACAGACTATTTTTAGAGGCGATAACAAAAGTCGTCTAAAGAGACCTTTAGTAGCGGCTAGAACGAATAAATCGCCGCTAAAAAGATTTTTAGTTACTGAAGTCCATAAAATCGTCAATATTCGTTGCAAAAGATAGAAACAGTCATCTTAGGCAAGAATGGCTACTTTTTGCTAATTTAAGTGCTCCTCCTTCTGCTTTTCGGCAAAAATTTAAGTGCTTTTCCTTTTGCTACAGCCCATTTATTAAAAGCAAGAAAAAATGATTCGTTTGTCAATTTTCCAATGTAATCTACAACCAAGTAGTGTTCCTTCGTGTTAAGAAATAAACTTGTAAAAGTTATTTACTTCCCCAGTGAACGTAATTGCTAGTAATTTCTAGATGAATTGAAAGGCAAGTGACTGCTGTATAATTAACAAGCCACAACGAAAATAAAATTTGAGAGTTTCGGGGTTTTCATCTTAGAGAACCATGAATATCGAGACTATAAATAATGTAATTTGTGACGAAATATCAAAAAAAAAAAAAAAAACACAGTAAATGAGATCAGACCAATCCAACCCCAATCCAATGGATTGAGGATTAGTTGATCAGTTGAAATTCGGTCGACAACAGCGAGAGTTTGGTAATCTTTGTCCGAGAGGGCAGCCTCCCTGAGATGGAGTGGGACAATTTCCCCACCATTGTCCAAGACGACCTTGACCAAATTATACTCATAAACTCCTGGATGTTGTTTAGGAGGCATCGGCGGATCTTCCAAGTCCCCAAAATCCCAAAACAGAAGGTGTGTCACCGTATCATCTCCGTACCCTTTGTCCTTAAACTTTCTCCGTATTGACGTACTGGCTCTCGTCTATGCCGCTAAATCTTAGGGACTCACTGAATACAAACACCGTCTTGATCATCTGCTCTGGCTTCACACTCCCCTTTGCAATGGCAGTCACCTCCGGAATATCAAACAACTTCTCGTAATCAACAAACAAGTCGGACTCCATTGTTCCCATAAACTCGCACTTGTACTTGAGATCTTTGCCTTGTATCGGACATAGCAGCGGCTGATCTTGGCCGAATTACCAAAAACGATCACCTTGCCTTTCCATGGCCCTTCGCTCAGTTGAGACAGCAATAGTGCCCAACCCTGCATCATCCTTCCTCCAACTCCCTTGTCCGCGTATTTGGTGGTGTGATACACAGCGAAGTAATTTCTGAATTTTCCCTTCAGGTGCATGCCCTCCACCTTTGTCTTCCACTGAAGCTCAGCCGCTTGCTTGATATCACTGCCATCTTCGGCGTAGAGTATGATTTGATGTGGAAGGAGAGCATCGTACTTTATGCCACTTAAATTTCCTGCTGCAATTTCCTCCAAATACTTCTTATCATCACGGCGCTTGTGTCCGACAATGCCTCCAAGATTGTAGTAATTGGTCAAGGGCTCCGAAACCTCCTTCGCCAGCCGCTTCCACTCTTGTGAATGAACTGATGATTGATGCGGGAAAAGCCTCCTTTCAACGCAGCAAAACAGCGCGGGTGGCTTTGGTTACCGAGCGGTATGCGCTAACGCACCACGCTGCAGCCTCGGTAACGAAAACATCATCATCACTATCATTGCCAACATCATCATTCAACTTGAGTTTCAGCTTGTTCTGCTTCAACTTTCCAATATCAGATTTCATCCTCTCCACGAAAAATCCATCACCCGGTCGTGCAACAACCTGTAATCCGGATCGCTGCGCAGCCTCTCAGCAGCGTCTTGGCCTTCCAGAAGGCTTTAGAGAATGTCAATAAGGACATACGAGTCTTAAAACGAAACGTTACATAGTAGAGTCTTTGGGTGGTTGTGGTGGAGCCAAAACACGGCGGAGAAGAACGCTTCATCATAAAGTTTTCCAGAGTCGAGGTTGCTGATGAGCTTGAGTCGAGTGTGATTAAGGGATTGTGAGACCAGGCCAAGGGCAGCAGTTGCTTCAGATTGTTAAGCAAACCGGAATTATGTGAGGCCTGCTCGGTGTCATCTTTGAAGTATTTTTGTGTCACGTGGTCAAACAGATCAAGGCAGGGATCGCCGTAGGAGGAGGAGTAGAAGGAGGAGATCTTGCCAGTCGCGTCGTTGGAAATTATGTAATTTGATGACTGGCTTTGTTTCAATGAGTTTTCTGGTGGGAGAGGACTAATAAGGAGGATATGTGTATATAGCCTATAGGAGAAGAAAGTGTAAAGGGCCCCTTTCCAATTATTCAACTTGGCATGTCAGATTATCTGCCTATACAGGGTAGTTTATGACGGACAGAGATCCTCCTTGGATCTCACTATCCTAAGTCCAAGAATTCGACGATTTTATTTACTCATTCCATTAACCCATTTTACATAAACTAAGGGCTTCGATTTTTCTTTTACACAAACCAAAAGCTCGAATTTCCTGATCCTTAAACTCTGAACAGTAAAGTCTAGAGAGGATCCAAATTCGTTTATAACTTCGCATGTCACATCCTTACATATAATCTTAACATATATTTGCTTTCTATTAGGGTAAACAAACAAAGCACAAATCAATTCAAAGTAAATAACATCACTTACCAAGTTTGAATGAAGCATTTAAAATAATAAACGAGAAATATGAAAAAGGAAAGTTAACATTTGAGTCATTTGGTTAGCTACAATAACAAAAATTTAGTTAATATTGTTAGAGATGCTCTCACTAAACCGTTGTACTGATTTGAACATAGTTTTGAAGTTGGTGAAAAGGCAGACTGCACCACTTTAACCCATTATTGAGTAGCATTGATCATATTAGAAGGTGAAAACTGCCGGTGATAAATCTAGGGATGTGATATACACACACCTTTTTTTACTTCTCACACACCCTTCTAATTTTCAACCGTCGGATCGAATGAATTGAAGAAGATCAACGGACAAAAATTAACAAAGAGTGTGTGAGAAGTAAAAAGGGGTGTGTGGATAGCACACCCCTAAATCTAAATTATATATGGGGTAATTGATTGAGTAGCAACTTCTGTTACTTGACAATTCAGCATGCTCTGTTTCTGTTCAAGACATTATCTTCCATATTACATATGCAAGTAAACAAGTCATTTATCAAACATTACTTATTAGTTAGATTCCTGACAACGATAGGATAATTTACACTAAAATATTTTAAATTATAGGAGAATTCGAACTTGAATGCAAAGAGAGAGAGCACACTACTTCAGCCAACTCGACTTACTCTAGGTATGCTATTTATTTGATCAATGCATTGCCTTTTTCAGGTAGGGGATAATGATTTCATTTGGTTTTTTTTTTTTTTTTTTTTTTTTTTTAATATTATTATGAGAAGATGAAGAGTTAGAAACTATTACAATAATTTAAGGGATGGGAGTTCGAACCAGCAAAGCATGGGTAGAAATCTAATACCCTAAGAAGGGGCAAAATTGATTGGATTTTTCGTTTCTTTACAAGAAGAATTTACATAAACGAATCTGAGTAGAAAAGTTAATTTCTTTGTGAACTATATATTTAACATTTCGACATTATATATATTGAGTAGCATAGCTAGAACCTCCTTCATGTTTGGCCTTGACTGTGGTGCCTCGGCCGTGCACTTAATGCCAACCTTAAGCAGCTCGCACATCTCCTCCGCCCCATCAACCAGCCCCGATCCCATAAGCATAACCGGTATCACAGACCGGTTGAATCCTTGATGTCCATTTCCCATTACCCTTCTTGCCCATTCCACAAGGCACTCCTCTCCTCCATCCACCGCTCTCCTCCCGGTTGCCAACTCCATTGCCAGCACTCCGTAACTGTACACATCTCCTTTCGTCGTGGCTTGCCATGTCTGCCCATATTCGGGCGCGACATAGCCAACAGTCCCCGCCACCATTGTGCTCACATGAGTATTCCCTGCATCGACTATTCTAGCCAGCCCGAAATCTGTAACTCTCGCCTTTCCATCCTTGTCTAGCAGCACATTGCTTGCCTTCACATCGCGGTGCACGATGGCAGGGAAGCACTCGTGGTGTAGAAACACCAAGGCTCGAGCCACGTCAACTGCCACATCAACTCGCCTTCGCCATGTCAGTCCTACTCTATCAGTTATAAAATCCTCCAAGGTCCCGCCTTCCATGTACTCGTAGACTAGTATTTTTTCGGATCCATAGAGACACCAGCCGTGAAGAGTTACAAGGTTCGGGTGAGGCCAGCCAAAGCCATTCCCACTAAGAACCTCCATTTCAGCTCGGAACTCCCTTTCACCTTCGAGTCCTTCTCTTAGAAGCTTCTTCACCGCTACTACTCTCCCATCCGGCAATACTCCTTGGTACACTGTCCCAAACCCTCCCCTCCCTATAATCCTATCTTCCGAAAAATTGCGTGTAGCGTTCAAAATGTCAGCATGTGTAAAAGCCGTTTTGTCCAAACGAATGATCTTCACAGTATCCGACAACCACGGGGATGAACTGCTAGAGCTCGAGGCCAAGTCATGCCGGTATTTGATGTCCTCCAACAAGTATCCTGGGGGCTGTGGCGGGCTCTTTCCGGATAAGCACGCTACAAGTGACAAAACTCCACATACCAAGACAACAATTAGCAAAACCAAGACCAAAACATATGCAGCAAACTTTTTAGGCTTTTTCGGATTCCCGTACGGTTTTTTTGCTGGATACGTGGAGTTGTCGATGAATTTGGGAAGCTGCAGGAGGGGGTCACCGAGATAGGATTCTTTCTCGAAGGTTGCTAACTGCCCA